AATTATTTTTTTCATCTCCGGTGTAACCCCCCTCCCCCCCCCCAAACAGTGTGTCATCAACATGATTGATAGAAATCTTATCAGTAGAACGGATTATTCTTTGAATTAATTGTAATTGTGCCAGTATTTTAAAAAACTCTCAATTGTGTATCGATCACTGATTAGAAATAATTCATTTGTGCAAATGAGTTTAGCTGAGAAAATTAATACCACTCGTTATCTTTTGTTCATTAACTATCATTTGTGCGACTCTAACGATAACCATCACAATGACCAACAGTGCCTTATTCCCCCTTTTTTTACAATTAAATATCTTTGGTATTATGCCTGAGTCATTCATTGAGATAATCGATTAAAAACGAGAATGAAATCATGATTAGATTTTTAATGGATTGCTGGGATTTTTATCGGTATGATAATGATCATTTTTGATGTATTGTTAAGATGCATCAGGAGTTGTGATGATTTTAATTGAAAATTGTGGCAGCATTGTGTGATATTTTCAAATTTCATCGATGCGAATCGGTGAAACGAGTGAATTAACAAATTATTCCGCCCAGACCTTTTCATTTTCCAAGTACTCTAAACAAAAATCAAGCCTGAAAATTAATTCATCTCATTTCACCACTCGTTTCGCACCTCAAAAAGTTTACCAACTACAATAACGACGTCAATAATCGTGATATAAAAATCCATAAAATTGAATTAGTCGTTGAATTGAGATAATAAAAATCATACTCCTCAACAATTCCGGTATTGGCATTTATTTTCACATATGCATCGATCGGCTCTTTAATTATCTGAATTCTTTTCGTATACGAATTACATGAGACTGACTCGAGAGCACTTCAATGTCCATTTTTATACAAAATTCACACTGCCATTTCCATTTTCCACATATCAGTGATGTTCAACCCTGTCAACGATACGTCTCACTGTACGTTGTCTCGTCCCTTCCGACTTCTGTCAAAAATTTTCCCGAATAATTACGTCAATTCTCATCAGCCCATTTCCATTACTTCCGTCAAACGTGTACCGAACTTAATAATAACTAACAATATAAAAATTTGTACTATGAGGTAAGTAAAGAATTTTTCTTTAAAAAAAAAATGAGAAAAAATAATCACGATGGGCGCCGACAAAAAATCAATCCTCGGAATGAATAATAAAAATGTCATTTAACCAAAGGCTCACCTGGTAAGAGGGTCTTTCAGTCTTAATATTTGAGGGAGATCTTTATTGGTGAGTCTTTGTCTCATTAATCATTGATCTTTCACACATTTTATCGTCCATTGAACTCTACTTATCAATTAATATCGTTAAAATCATATTAAAATCATCAATTCAACATTTTAATCCTCTCAAACAGGACAAAACGACTGCATGTGGCATGTGTTTCAGTGTCTGTGGGTCAGTCAAGGCGTAATTCAAGTTCTATTGCTCACAAAATTTTTCTCCTCGTTCATTGTTAATCAAATCAATTGCAATAAAAATTTTCTTTTTTTTTCCTCAACTATCAATGCTTCGGGGACATTTACAATAACTCTATGATTGACAATATTTCAATTATCAGAGAACTTTCAAAGCTACCTCGACCAATAACTTCTATCGAGAAAAAATTGTTTTGCTGTAATTATTTACTTCTTTCAACGTTTTTAAAATTCACATTTAATGTGGCACTCTTGGTGATTCTTTCATGAATCTATGTTTCATTATTTATAAATTTTTTCTCCATACACACATGATTATTCATTGATTTAAAATCCTTTCCATTTCATCCAGAAATATTGAAAGGTGATGTCGCTGAATCGAATCAATAACTCGTGTATTATTATTTTCTTTTTCCATAAGCCGAAGATACAGTACAGATTTGTGAACAAAAGAGCTTGTCATCGCGTTGTGTTTTATTATCATCTCCAGAATAAATCCCCATTGATTTTGTTCATTATCATTTTTTGTTCTTTTTTCGTCCTTATTCACTGTCTAGAAAACATTTTTTTTTTTTTTCGTCATATAGAATATATCACATACGCGTTACTTCTAAACACACTGAAATAAGAAGCACTTTAAGAATAGATTTTTCTTTCTTTTTTTTTTCTCTCTACACAAATGTCATTTGGGGCCTCCCAGTTTAGAGATGGATTGATCTATTATTCATTATCAATTCATTATCTTCAATCATTACTAATTATTAACTGGTGTATAATGTGTTTAAATACGATACATATGTACATACAAGCCCTGTGCATTATTCATTCTCGTTCACACAATTTTTTTCCCCCCTCTCTTTCCCCTCCAATTTCTCACTTCATTTATCAGTTTCTTTTAAAAATTATTCTTTCTTGTCATCTATTACGTATATGTGTGAGTATAAACTAAAATTCAACCGTTGGGTTATTCTTCATCCACTTTTTTTTTTTTATCAACAATGTGATGTCTGTCATCTACCGTAACGTGTCTCCGTTTCATTAATTTAATTACTAACAAATAGTAACGTCTCATTATGTTAATTATACATTAAAATTATGAAGCATTCGTAGATGTAAAGATCTCCACGATTTTATGGAAATTAAAGTAATGAAATTATTAATAGTACTATTAAAAAATTTTTTTAAAAATCAGATCGATTTGTTTGCTACGTATTTGGTATGTATCGAGATTTATATTATTTATAATAATATTTTCCCTAGTTACTGAGTTGTCTCAATATCGTTGAGGAAAATAAGGGTAAAACGACTAGTTCTAGAAAATTTCAAATGCTCGTTATGATTTTTGTGATGTAAAAGTGGTATAATTTATCGATTAATATCCCCATGGTTAATTGACTTGTCCTCCTATCCAACTTAACACTTTGGCTGATCTCCGTGTGGGTTTTACCATTGAAAAATATTTCATAAAAGTAATAAAAACGTGGAGATCGAGGAGTTTAATCCCTGCGATATTTCCCCACAAGAGGATTCAATTGGTCATTGAGTCTTTTTTTAAATTTTTAATTAATCAAAAAAGAAACATTATATAAATCTCTGAAAATCAAACAGCCACTGGAGTACTGTGAAAAAAATTCCTCCCTGGCATAACGCGAATGCCCAATCGAATGTCTCTCAATGGGATAACCCCTCAGGGTTGTGAAATTTGGGTTAAACAAACAGCAAATGTTATCCTCGTGAAATTTCGATCGTAAACCGATTCAGTCAACAAGCGATTGTGGATGGGGTAGAAATGCCATTGAAAAAACAGAGCTTGCATATTGATATTGGATAGAAAAAACAGTCCCCCCTGTGATTGGGAACATCCTGGGAATCCCCAAGGTCCTCAATGTCAATTATCGAATTATTACAAATTGTAATATAAAAATGATTAAAAAAATGCGTGAAATTTACAATAAGCACTTGCTCAAACATGCGTTCCATCCAGGGGGTGTTCATTAATTGCGTGAGAATTTTTTCATTTTGTACATTTGACATTCTTGACAAAATTATCATTTTTTTAAAGATTAAAAGAATGACAATTTTGGCAATTAAACAACTTTGAGAAATGTACACTAATTTTCCCGATTTTAAAAATAATTTAAATAAATTAATCTCACGTGATAACATTCCGGGGAGGGGATACCAAATTAATGGGTAAAATTTAAATTGAATGAAATATCAATTACCCATTTGACATTTTACATTTCCCACAACATTATTATCCTTTGAAATTTCAAAAGAATGATAACTTTGTGTTAAATATAAATGACTAAAATTTCCATGACACATTTGTCATTTTTTAAAATAAATCAATTGACATTTAACCCCAAAACAAACTTCAAAAGAATGACCATTTTGCGTAAAATGTAAATAGCAAAACTGAGTAATCCCCAAACTAATAACTAAAAATCCTGCGAAAAAAATCCTCAAAATCTCACCACAAATTGACGAACGTCCCCCAATAGCGTAACAATGTTGCAATTCTCGGCTACAATGTCAAAGCGAGTACCTTGTATCCACGTATTGACGGTATCTCCAAAAAATGATGCAACTAATTGATCAATCAATGTAATAAAAACTGTACGTCTCCCGGTGGGATCTATATATGCCTTGTGTTCCCACTAACGGATCTTACAACGTCACTCTGCGCCCTCGACGAGGACTATGAACGATAGATGAAGCTACATGGTGGTGTTGGTGGTGGTGGTGAGCCATCATTAATCGGTATTGGTAACAATGTTGGTGGTGGTGATGGTGTTGAGGAGGGAGGCGATGGTGAACTCGACGAGACACTGGAGGGTGGTGAGGGTGACTCGAGTGTTCTCTGTCCAGTCAACTCTCTACTCGATTGTCCTCCTGACGTCACACCACGACTTCTATTTGATGTCGGATTGTGACGATTTCTCGTTGGCCGTCCTAAGCTACGATGACGGCCCCCTCCCTCCTCACTCGTTTCTCAGAGATAAACTTTTTTGACACTTCGTGTTGTTGCAAAACCATCGTTACGTCTGTATGCATCACCCTGGTGGGATCTCAGTGTGCCAAAATTATCTCTCGGACCACGATAGCCGTAACCATCGGGAAATTGAAATAGTGTTTCAGCGGGTGTTGGTGGGGGCTTTCTCATTGTTCCTTTTGGGGAGTGGAGCTTTGGGGGCTGGGGAACAAGGACTGGCTCTGCGTACGTCACTTCCTCCTGGGGAAGGAGTTTTGGCTCTGGTGCTAATCTACTGTTGAACAGAACAACACAATTATTATTACTTTCATTGATTTTTTAGGCGTCATTTGTGCATTATTTCAACATTAATTCAGTAAAAAAGAAAAGAATAGTGAATGCTGGCCAGCTTTCATTGAATATCTCGGAATCTAAGGGGTATAGCCAAATTTTTGTCTCGACCTTTTTTGTAGAGCGCATTGAGGACTAACAAAAAGGTCATGACAAAAATTTCGTTATCTCCCTCAGATTTCGAGATATTCCTCGAAAACTCAGCCAAGGGCCACGTCGACTTCCCTACTGAATTTTGAATTGAGAATTTCTAAAGAAACGAACAAAAAAAATTTGAAAAACGAACAAAATTCAAATTCAGACTTGTTTGAGAGAATATTGCTTGCAGTGTATGTCAAACAGAAGAGGATGAAAAAATATTCACAGATTGAATGGAAAAAAAAATCGTGGAGAATGGATTTTTAGACGTTTAAATGAACAATTAATGGATGCGTTTCGTATAATGTTTCTTCAATAATTCATCATCAAGATCCACAACAACATTAACAATTCAACAATCGCGTTGTGAAATTGGAATGAATTTTTTAAGGTTGAAATGTACAATTGTGTGAAGTATTGTGTTTGTGACATGAATTTTCACTCCAAAAGGACAATTATAGCAGATGTACGTCAGAAAAGCATTCGTCAACTGTCAAAACGCGGATCAATTATTCTGCTGAATAATACATTCACCTCAAAAGCTAATAATTTCAGGAGGGAATGTCCCTTGATATATACCTCTAGAGTAATTCAAGTACTATTCAAGATATGAAAAATTGTCTTGTTCAATCCTCATTTGTCGTTACGAGAGAGTCAAAATAACACCAATAATTAAACATTTACGTTTTATTACCTATTAACATTCTGTCGTTGCTCAAAGTACTCATACTCCGTGTCTGGATAAGGTAGATTGTCGTCTTCATCCTTCCGACATTTTCTACCACACAAATATCCAGCAATGAAGCCAACGAGGAGTGCAGCAAGTGCACCAGCAACAACAGCCATCACTAGTGTCTCAACGGAATAGTGAGGCACTGGAGAATCTGCAGCAGACACTTCAGGGCCTGATGGAAGAAAAAATCAATTAGTGTGCATAACGCACACACGAAGAAATATCACGGAACCTAGCGAATCCGTCAGAAAATTGTATTGAATTTCGATTGAATATTCTAAAAAATTCCACAGCTTTACAGCGGGGTTTTTTAAATAGTAGAAACTATTTTATTGAAAATATCTGCAAAATCTTTTTATGTAACATCTATTGAAACATTTCTTGCAGGCATTCCTTTTTCATTAAAAAATTAATTGCATAGAAAAATCAATTTTTTTTTCTATAGAATCGACCAAAAACTGATGGAAAAAATCAGTAGAATTTAATATTTCTACAACTTTGTCTATTGAGCCATTTTTTCCATTCAATTTTCCTTTTATTCTCATTCAATAAGAAGAATCAAACAAAAAAAAATTGGAAAATTTCAGGCGAAAAATTTCTATCCAAAATATCCCAACAGAATAAATTCCACATGAAATCCCAACGTTTCCCCCATTTTCTACAGAGAAATTCGCTAGATTTCTCCATCAAACTCCTTTCAAGTCCCTAAAATCGATTAAATCAACTAAAAATACCTGAATTATTCTGCTCCTCATCCTGCATAATATTGATAATCTCTCCCCCCTGACTCTCCTTATTCGATATCATAGAGTCCTGTGGAAACTTATTCTGATTAGCAGATATAGCGCCCACTGATCCAGCATCCTTATTCAATGTTTTACTTGGAGGACACGATGAATGAATACCAGTGGCAACACTCTGGAGAAATCTCAAAGCATCGGTCGATGCTGGACCCACGAGGGCTCTGCACTTGCCCTCCTCCTTGTCCCAAGCGCAGTAAGGATCCTGAAGAGCTACGCACTCACCGCACGACAGTATTCTATCGCTGTAACACCGATGAAGTCTCAATGCTTGGACCTGACTGTCGGCTATAACCACGAGCCTACCGTCCTCCAGACCATCGCCTGCCTGCGATGCCCTCACAACTTTTATTCCACGAACTGGAACTGATGCTGGAAATGCCTGAATCTCCTCTATCACAACTGGACTCACGCGTTCGTGAGAATCAGCTGAATCGGCATTCACTGCTTTTATCACTTTTCCATTGTCAGTCCCGATGAAGAGGACGTCGTAGGTCTTACCACCAGGCGTTTTCACCTGAGGATCCACTGCTATTTGGGTAAATCTGTAACTTTAATAACAGAATCGTTGGACTCGGTGGTTTATTCATTCATTTGTACGAAAAGCCTTTCATGTTTTTATATTTCAGGAGCGAAGTGGTCAAACGGTTTAAGTCGACTTTGGCTAGTGGCCAGTTTTCAATGAATATCTCCAAATCTGAGGGAGATAGCAAAATTTTTCTCATTATCTTTTTAGTGGCACTCAATTCGCTACACAAAAAATGTTATTATGAAAATTTCGCCATCTCCCTTAATTTCGGAAATATTTCTGGAAAACTCAACTGAAGAGGAAATTGTGTTGAACCGTTTGACCACTTCGCTACTGATTCTGTTCACTTCCCTTTGTCAGTATAAACATATTACAGTTTTTTGAAAATACAGATTTGGGTAAATAACATGAATTTTATTATATTTTGTAGCGTCAAAGAAATAAAAAATTTTTTTCAATAAAATTGAACATAAATTTTTATATTTATATAATGAGGTTCTATGAAAAAGAACAGTTAAAATTGAGATCATATTCTTGAATGGGTCGGAGAAATGTTACACAAAGTGAATAATGGCATTTTTTAAATGAATGGGTATAGCTATTGTTGCAAATAAATTAGCAATTTGCTTCCGAATGGGCTCTCTTTTTTAATTCTCATGTCACTATTCTTTTCTCCTATTTTTTCATGTCACAGTAATATTTCAACCGAAACGTCATCAGACTTTTGCGTAATATTACGTTCTGTCAAATAATTCTGTATTCAGACTCTTTCAGGACTCGAATTTGTTTTCAATCTGGGTTTAATCAGGGTTTATTCAGGATTTAGCCAAAGTTTAGCCCAACTTCTGACAGAAGTTAGTCGGGACCATGAATCAATATGAATAACTATTCAACATAATAGACTAGTACCTGAGTTTAATAGAGACAGAGATTTTTATATAAAAAACTCATGACGGTATTGTGTGACTTGATAACCAATGATGCTGTTTTCACCATTTTCCAACTTGATTAAGAAGACATTAAAATACACTTTTCAAGCCCTGATATTGTCTTTCAAATCGCGTAAACAATGTGCTGTATTTTTGAGTGATCGTTGAAAAATTGAATTTTAATTGATGTCTACAAATATAGCTTATTAGTCTATATTCACGCAAGAATTAATGGAATTCGATTGAATTCTCGTTAACAAATTACGAAAAAAAATGAAGAAAAAAGACCACATTTAGTAACCCTAACTCAAAAAATCGAAAATTCAAATGTGAGCGAATCCAAAGTTTCCATTCTCCGGCAAAAAATATAATTCAACGATTAAAAAACCACAAATGCAAAGTATACTTACTGAAAACTTGTGCGAATAACAATGGGCTGGCCAAAAAAACTTGGCACCGACTCATCCATCAATGAATGCGTCTTAATGAAATTGAGTGTTAAATCAGGCAATGTCCTGGAGTCATTGACACACTGACCAGGACGTGGATCTGGTACTTTGGCACTCTGTACTGGTAGCCAGTTTGAATTAATCGCACTTTGCTCTTTGAAATTGCCCTCAAATGTGTCGGAAATATCTTGCAACGAGAATGCACATACGGCTGAACCACTGATACTGTTGACTGGTGTTGTGAATGTACCGTATATAAGTTGAGCAGACATTGTTCCGTATTGACCAGATATCAAGTCTGTTGTCGATTCTGCAAAGTATTTGAATGTTGGAGCGTTATATCCATAAATAAAAGTGCCAATATTTCCAGACATCGGGATTCATGCATTTTCAAGTCGTGTGTCAGGGGGATTGTATCGCTCGTTCCAGAAAACACTGGCTGATAAATAATCCTGTACTTACGTATTTCATTGAAATAGAACGGGAAATCACCGGTGACAGAGCAATTTAATCGTGACTTCAAGAAGGAGGTCCATCTGTTGCGAAAACGATGTGGACCACCTCGGTCGTATTTACAGACTCTCGCAACACGAGAGAAAACAGCCTGCGATAAATATTTATTATTCTTTATTTGATAATCATCCTATTTTTTGCGTTAGGGAGAAAAAATATTTGTAGAAAAGCGGTGCGAATGTGAGGGAAAATTCTATGAGATTTCTATTCGAAATTCTATTAGTTTTCGGCCGCTTTGGGGCGAGATTTCCCCAGCTTTTCTGTGCATTGTTATAAGAAATATCAAATAAAAATTATTTTACAGAAAAAATCAGTAGAATTTCATTTTCTTTAACACGAATTTTCCATTTATTTCCAATCTGTCTTTTTCACTTTTCATTATAAAAATTGATTTTGAATAAAAAACTTTGAATGAAAAAACTTTTCCTATAGAATATTCTCCATCGAAAATTTCCCCTAAAAAAGAGCAAATGAGCTGCGAAACTGTTCATTAAAATCGGCCAAAACCAAATAAAAATTATTTCACTGAAAAAATCTGTAGAATTTCATTTTTTTAAACGAATTTTCCATTTATTTTCAATCTGTCTTTTTAATTTTTCATTATAAAAATTGATTTAAAAAACTTTGAATATCTCAATAGAATAAGTTATAAAAAATCTAAATTTTGTCAATTTTTTCAACAGAATATTTTCCATCGAAAATTTAAAAAACGCAAATGAGCTGCGAAACTGTTCATTAAAATCGGCCAAAGCCAAATAAAAAATTCCCTAAAAATCCATCATAATTTTCCCTCGAATACGCCGGGTTTTTCAATGAAATTATTTTCACCAACACAGTGAAAATAATATCTCACCTTTCCACAGTTGATATATTCAACTGCTGTTTCTCGGAAGAAAAAATATACGAAATCCCCCTGGGTCATTGAACTGACGAAATTTGGTGCTGCAACAAGAGCATTTAATATTCAAGATTAAAAGATGAAGCAGCCCCACCCAAAAAAGAATACCGCTATGAAACACAAACAGACAAAGAGTTTGACCATAGAATGTTAAAACCCGAGATACAATATTGTCGCTGCGAACGATGATGAAAACAAAAGAGACATAATAACGTGAAAATTCCCAACTTTATCAATTTATTAACTCGTGGGAGGGGGCGGCCGGAGGGGAGGAGGGATGAGGGGATGGGAAATTTTCATAATCCCAATGTTGGACGGTTAATAATTAAAAATTGATCCCCCACGACTGCACTGGGGATCGATAGTGCCACTACTCACAGTGTGACATGAATGCTCTGAATATTGGCTACTCAATGTACATGCATCCATCCAAATGAGAGGGGTCTTTGGGGGATTTAGATGCTGCATTATCCCTGACATTTTCAGCATTTCACTTCAACAAAGTAAATACAATATTGAAGAATATTCTACGCGCCTCGCGGTGTGTTTGTCCAAATATATTTGTCGAGTGATACATTCTAGAAATTGAAATGAATAAACACAACTGTTCTCACATGGCCGGCATGTGGGTTTGTGGCTTCCGCATGTGGGTCTTTAATAACTGTTTCGTACACAAATTGTTGTAGTTAATTTGATTCGAAATAACGGTCTTGTTGTTCGCTGTCATCTCATTCGGGGGCATATTTCAGTGGTGGAGATGTAACAACTGTTTTGTAACAACAGAGACTTTTTTTTTTAGGCGTGAAATCGATTTTTGGTTCAATTCTGGAGATGAATAAATTGGTTGAGTCTGAACAAATGATTTTTATGGTTTTGTTTTCTTCCAGAAGTAAATTTTCTATTTTTTTTCCAGATTTTTAAAACGTTTTCTAATGATATAATGTGAAGATTCAAAGTAAAATCTGCAAAGTTTAAATAACAAAATCATTGTAAAATGCCGGAAAATTTGGGGTCAAAGGGGGCTCAAATGAAAGCTCCGATGTTCAATTACAAAAGTTGAAAATCATTTTACTTTAATTACGAAATTCATGACTTGAAATTTATCAAAGAAAACAAAATCTTACGACAATAAATTTTCTACTTGTCCGAAAGATGAGGACAATTGTTTCATATCAATAAAAAGGAGTTCTCAATTCAATTCAATGAGTTTTTACATTAAAATATTTGAGAATTGTGGCAAAAAAACTATTAAATGAATTAATTCAATTGCACTTGCTTTGAAAAATCACTTTCTAGTTATCAAGAAATTCCTCGTCTTTAGAACAAATCCAAAAAATATCTTAACAAAAGTTTTGTTTTTCTCAGCATGGAGAAAAAATAAAGTATTTGGACATCCCTAAGAGGAAAAATGCTGTTTTTTTTCTCTAAAGAGGAGCGAAGCGGTAAACCGGGTCAAATCGATTTTGACTATTGGCCAGTCTTCAATGAATATCTCGGAATCTAAGGGAGATAGCTCAATTTGTCTCATAACCTTTTTTGTAGAGCCGGTTGAGAGCTACAACAAATGTGATTACAATAATTTCGCTATCTCCCTTAGATTCCGAAATATTCCTCAAAAACTCAACTGGGAGATGAGTCGACTTGAACCGTTTTACCACTTCGCTACTGAATTGATGAAGATGTATCCATATTGCTGCCAAGTGCCATAATATATAATTCATCCTCGAATCGTCAACTAAACCAGATGGCCACATTGAAAGCCTCGACCCCCCCCCCCNAAAAGTCATCACGAGGGAATGAAATCCCCATTCAATAACCGTAATTTCCATTTTCCAGTCACACAACGAAATATATAATTGATCATCATACCGTTCAGACTCATGGAGTCATATTGTTCAGTTTGCAGTGGCTCTCTGTATATAATCGGGTCCATTCCCGAAAAATCAGCGACAGTGCCCGTATAGAGTTCACCATCGACATGAACAAATGTGCTGTTCTGCTGTGGGTCATAGGGGCACAGGGCTTGCCCTGACTTTTCACTTGCCATCGTGTAATTTCCACTCTGCACAACGTAATCTCTGCACATTGGCTTAAATGCATTTGTCGCGCAGATTAGTAAATTTGATGATCCTGTTTTAGCCATTATTCTCATATAATTTTGGCATATTTCATCCTCCTTTCCCTTTAGAGCGCACATTTTAATGTCTTTCTCGGACGAGTACCAGGTTAATCTCTGTTGCTCGGTTAAGTCAGTTAAACTGAGATTGTGCACCAAATTTCTGGGAACAAAAGAGTATTTTATTAAATTGGGACTAAATAGTTGAGCAACAGTTGTTTTATTTTGCATATAGCACTTGAGAATTCGTTTTTGAATGATTCTGTCATCTCGTCTCATCTCATTCTGTCATCTCTTGTGCTTTCGGCCATTTATTATTGAAAAAGACACAATTGCTGTGACAAAATAGTTGAGTAATAGTGTTCTTCCTTTACATTCACAACTTAAAAATAAATTTTTGAATAACTATTCCGTGATCTGTCGTGTTTTCGGCCATTCATTATTGAGGAAGCATTAATTCCCGTTCTGGAAAAACACGTGATTCATCATTCCGAACTATTTTAAGCCTTCCCCACCCCAAAAAAAAAAAACGAGTGAACAGTTACCACTATTATTGTGATTTCTGTTCAGCATCAAAGACTGAGTTCCTACCTTCCACCAATGAGAAGATAGTTTCCATCCCTCAGCATCAGCCGGAAGTAGTCCGTGTGGGTTTCGTTTCCAGTGAATCTGAACACATCCTCCGCACCTGGAAATACAAACATAAACTGTTAGGAATTTATCCCCTAAAAACTTCTGATATTTGTTTTTGCCCCGAATCTTCCACTCTCCAAGATGGCTAAACTTTCAATTGATCATTTCGATCGTTGGAATTCCTCCCGGAAAGTTTGGTATGTAATCATACCTTCTGTTCCTCTAACAATGTGAGAAAAAAATCACCAGATTTCTATGGAATTCGATGAAGTTACATATTTGATCTGGTCCATCCATTCAATTACAAGCTAGCGCCGTTTGATCTAGTGTATACACAAGGTAGATTGAAATTAGATGTGATCGAGTATCCAGGGACATCGGAAGAGCTTACGACACGGCAATCTCAGCTCGAGGAGACCCTGTGGTTTTCTGTCTCTCGACACTATTCAACATATACAGCTGAATCACGCTTCCTTTGAGTATGGAGGTGTCGTTTCTTCGGTAGCAATTCAATTCGGAATCCTTATTTTTTTTGAATATCCAGAGGAGATCAGAAGTGAAGCGAAGTGGTGAACCGAGGCAAGCCAATTTCACGTGGAAATCAGCTTTTGATTGATGTAGCTTTCACAAAAGAAATTTAACTATTTTACTTTTTTAACATTTTCCGTCGCAACCCTTGAACAATTAATGGATGAAAATAAGGTATTTCCACCCGATATCCCTCTGGAACTATTTAATCTAAACATCAGTCGCCTGAGAAGCTACTGAATTGCTTTTGATTGATATCTCTTACAAAAGAAATTTAAGATTTTTACTTTTTTGTAATTATCTGACACAACCCTTGAACAACTAATGGATGAAAAATAAGGTATACCTGCGTGGTGGCTGTCGCCACTAATAATTCAGTAGCGAAGTGGTAAAACGGCACAAGTCAACTTTTACTATTCACCAGTTTTCAATGAATATCTCGGAATCTAAGGGAGATAGCAAAATGGTTTTAAAACCTTTTTTGTAGAGCCGATTAAGAGCTACAACAAATGTAATTTCAATAATTTCGCTATCTCCCTTAGATTCGGAAATATTCATCAAAAACTCAACTGGGAGATAAGTCGACTTGAACCGTTTTACCACTTCGCTACTGAATTATAAACAAAATATTCCCCTGAATTGCAACAGATTAAACAATAGTATAGTAAATGAAAGAATTTCCTTCTCTATTCACTCAATTTCAAAATTATTCGTGTACCATTGCTGTGCACTTTTCCCATAATTTTATTATAGAATAAAATTTTCCTCAACAGTGAAGAATGCTAGATTCGAAATCCCCTGTTCACAACGAGATTTGACAATATCTTGATTGCAAGGATTTTGAAGCAATAGTTTTCCAAGTAAATGGGACTTTCTGACGTCGGACCAATGTATCTCCCCTCGACTGTGGCAGAAAGTTAGTGCCGTATTCGTAGTTTGTTCCAAGTTGCATTTGGAATGGTTCTAAAGTTTTTGGTATAACACTGCTGTCTGGCGTATTGCTTTCCAGCTTCAACAGATAGTTCAATACAACCAATCAACAGATCCACCATCTCCAAGTTGACATGAAATCCTAATCACCAATCTCCAATATTCGATCAGCAAGATTAAAAACTCTCTCTCTCTCCTCCTCTCTCGTTTCAAAATGAATTTCCCAATATTCCGGCATTCTCAATTTCCAGAGAATTGTCGACTGAGACCGTAAGATTGATGGACAGCGAGGGAAAAACGAGATGAATTGAGAAGAAAGAATGATGACAAAAGAAACAACCAAAAAATCTAGAATAAAGAATACGAAGGAGAGAGGATAAAGTAGCAGTGATGCCAACCGAAATGGACAGTTTGAAGTTTGTAAAAAAAGCCAACAAGATGAGAAAAGCAAGGTCCCAAGAGTTTTTCATGACAAATAGAACGTGGATATTGTGTATACTCGAAGAGGAAATTTCTCACTTGTGAGTTCTCCACACTTACACGTACATCCAAGCCAATATCTAAAGTACCTTCAGAGTGAACGAACAGATAATACCCCATTGTTCATTAAAAAGTCACTTCATTCTTTGATTAACCTCGTAAAATAATCTTATGTAGATAAATCTAATCCATCAGCTTACTGGAAATCAATAGTGAATCGATCACTTAATGTCCAGTGCAATGCCCTCGAGGTAATGATAATTTAGACAGACGGGCAGCTGTGTCCATTGGACAGTAGCACAATCCCTTCTTGGCTTAATCTCAATTATACATCTTCATGTCTGTTGCGGCGAAGGGATGGATGACGAGGCAATTAGATGGTACGTTGTTATGCAAGATATCCAGTGACACTTGCACATATGAAACCCCAACCAGAGATTTTGCACGAGTAATTGTTCAACGTGATATGCAGAGCATCACTCATGGATAGTGTCATTAGTAAAGAATTATTTCATCAATTTTAATGAAGGAAGGAGAAATGTCAAGACGTTTTTAGGTGGAAGACAGCAACAGTCTGGGGTGCACAAAGCTGGAGTAGCTGGCTCAATGACAGCAGCAAATGAGGACGTAAAATTAGAGCATTGTTCCGAGGAATCACTCTCCACGGCTCGTAAATGGGAACGACCAATGAGAGCTCCTCCCCGAACAATGACATCACTACCTAGTTGACTCATCTCTCACAATCATCTGGAGAATCCCCAGTTTTTTCAGAGATAGATTGAAAAATCTCAAGAAAGGGAAGTCTTGTGCCCACAACGGTGAGGATTTACCATCTTAGCTGGGAGCAATATCCAAGCAGCTCGTCGTACATTAATGATTTCCCAATTAAGCTCGGGTTCGATCTCCCAGACACCGAAGCGGAGCTTCCTCAGAAAACTTGTGTAATGACTTCTTCACAACTAATGTCATCAGCCTAATTCATCATATCCTGGCAAGGATCACTCACTGGAAGGGAAACCTTTCCAGATGAGATGTCGGAATTGCAGATGACATCGCATTCGTCACTGGTCATTTTCAATTCGTAAATTGGATTGGAACAATTTCGACAGAGGGTCTTAAACGAGGACAACTAAGAGACATCACCATCTAGTTGACTCATCTTTCATAATTGCTTGAAGAATCCCGTTCTTCCAGAGATTGATTCGAAGAATACAAGTCCTGTTCACCATCCTTGCTAAGAGCGGTAGCCAAGCAACTCCCGTACATTAATGATCCTACAATACAGCTCGGGTTCGATCTCCTAGACATCGATCCTGAACTTCCTCATCACCATCTTCGGAAAGCTTGCGCAATGACTTCTTCACAACGAATACCATCAACCTAATTCATGATATCCTAACGAAGGTCCCTCGCTGGAAGGAAAACCTTCCAGATGAGATGTCGGAATTGCAGATGACATTGCATTCGTCACTGGTCATTTCCAATTCGTAAATTGGATTGGAACAATGTCGACAGAGGGTCTTAAACGAGGACAACTAAGAGACATCACCATCTAGTTGACTCATCTTTCACAATTGCTTGAAGAATCCCGTTCTTCCAGAGATTGATTCGAAGAACGGAAGTCCTGCTCACCATCCTTGCTAAGAGCGGTAGCCAAGCAACTCCCGTACATTAATGATCCTACAATACAGCTCGGGTTCGATCTCCTAGACATCGATCCTGAACTTCCTCATCACCATCTTCGGAAAGCTTGCGCAATGACTTCTTCACAACGAATACCATCAACCTAATTCATGATATCCTAACGAAGGTCCCTCGCTGGAAGGAAAACCTTCCAGATGAGATGTCGGAATTGCAGATGACATTGCATTCGTCACTGGTCATTTCCAATTCGTAAATTGGATTGGAACAATGTCGACAGAGGGTCTTAAACGAGGACAACTAAGAGACATCACCATCTAGTTGACTCATCTTTCACAATTGCTTGAAGAATCCCGTTCTTCCAGAGATTGATTCGAAGAACGGAAGTCCTGCTCACCATCCTTGCTAAGAGCGGTAGCCAAGCAACTCCCGTACATTAATGATCCTACAATACAGCTCGGGTTCGATCTCCTAGACATCGATCCTGAACTTCCTCATCACCATCTTCGAAAAGCTTGCGCAATGACTTCTTCACACCGAATACCATCAACCTAATTCATGATATCCTAACGAAGGTCCCTCGCTGGAAGGAAAATCTTCCAGATGAGATGCCGGAATTGCAGATGACATTGCATTCGTCACTGGTCATTTCCAATTCGTAAATTGGATTGGAACAATTCCGACAGGGGAAGGGGGTATGTCCAAATATGTGTGCACACCGTGGTGAGGGGGTTGGTGGCGGAAGGAGCGTAGGGGGGGCTTGAGCCTTAAGGGCCATTTCTGAGTGGTGTGTGGCGCGCCCGTGGTAGAATTCCAAGAGGGAGTTGGTATTCGAAACTGAGTACAGTGGATAGGGGATGGTGGGAAATAGGTGTATAGCGCGCACGAGGAGCACTCGATCAATAACACGCCGCGGCATGGGCGCTCTGACATGTTTTCTGTGCTTTACTGAGCTGTACAACCACTTCTTAACCATCTTCGTCGATTACCATCTCTGCCACTACACAGACATTGCCATTATGCCTCTCCGGATCTAGCAGGTATTTCGCTCGATGCTCTCAGCCATTTAGTGTTTGGCCTTGTGATGAACAAACTTTAATCATAGCAATTCACGTCATAATGCCTCAGGTAGGAGGCACCACTCATTTGGATTTTCATCAGTGATATTAGCGGTACAAATTGGATCTATTCCGAGAGTTGAGTGGGGCTTGAGCGTGACGAATACCTGGATGCGTGACCACTTGGCAACTATCGTGCACAAAAAATATGTCTGAAGGGAGATTGGACGCGTGAAAAAGGGCCAGTCATCATTGATCGTGTGAGATATATTAATTGTACAAATATGTCTACATGACTGGGGTAGCAGACCCTGTGGCCTTTCTCACCAGGACCTAGATCACGTTTTCTGCCATTGACCAGGCCATTTACTTCAACGACTGCTAACAATTTGATCGCATGATTTTTCTGCATGATTTG